CACCAGACCCGTGCAGTTTGCGTCTCTGTCCCCCCCACACACACACCCGTCCCCCTATCCCCCCGGTTCTGTGTTTCTCAGCTGTGGCTGGTCGTCACCAAATCTCAGGTGCAGCAGAGCTCCCTCCCTTTGGCATGGTCCCATCCACCATGTGCAGAGGGCTCTCTGGCAGCCCGCACCACCCACCTCCCCTGCAAACTCTCCACCCCCGCCCCCCATCCCGGGCAGTACTGATAGCAGTTGCTCTGTACCTTCCTTGGGCAACGGCAAACAAGTGCTTTGGTTTTAAAAGCAGACATCAACCTCCTTCCTTGTAACTCTGAAAAGGGCTCCTGGCTTTTCCCTCCGTTGGAGGAAGCAACCGCCTCCAGAATGATGACAGCCTCGAGCTACGACTGTGTATGGCGCTCCCAGCACTGGCACCTGCAGGCCAAACCTCCCCAACAACAGACATGATGGAGAGGTCTTTGCGGACCTCCACACTCATATCCAGGAAAACTTGGGGCGATCCTAGGACCACTTGGTTCACTATCTTAAAGGGGCGGTTGGGTCCTCATCCACGTGTGACAGCTGTGAAGAATGAACTCCCTCTTGCCTGTCCTGGGGCCTCTCCTCCATTGACACTGGCACAGCTAAAGGCACCTCCCAGCCCACACCTACAAAATAAACAGTCACTTGGTTCCCAACACTCAAGACCTGGTTTTTCTACGGCAAATACTGACCACCTGTCGGGCCTAGAGATCAATGAACAGTCATGGTCAGGTGCTTAGACCTCCTTGGTGTGAAGGAAAACCCCTATTCTGTAAAACTACTGTTTGGAATTCTCTGCTATTCTCTGGACGGCCTCTATCTAATTCGGAAAAAGTAACTTTGCTTTCTAGCCTGCTTGAATAAGGCTGTCTGACCTTGTAGGCCAGAGACTAGATACACCCAATGCCACGCCAGGTGCATTTTTTAACTGAAAGAACTGTGTAGTTTCCAAGGCCGCCGCCAGCAGGCGCACAAAGGGCTGGCTCTTCCATAAAAAGGGAAGTTCTGCTTGAAGCTTTGCTAAGAATTTGGATTCATTTCCCTGAGCCCGCCGCGGTGAATAAAGTGTAACTCCAAACTCTCAGAGCGCTGTTTGGTTCTGGTCCGGTTTTTCTGTAACATTGGTACCAAACTCTAACCGACTGAGTCAACCATAAAGAAAAGTGAGGGGAACTTAATGGGTCCTGAACCCCGAGCAGTGACCTTTTGAGTGCCGCACTCCACTCAATACAAATGTATCCCAGGTTGCTGGGTACCTGGCCGGGCAGGTGAGAAGCTAATGGCCCCAAAGGTGGAGTGCAGGGATGGGGAAGCGGGAAGGTGGGATTTCTCGGCCAGGGATTATGTTCCTGCGATTCTTGGTTAGAACTGGAGAAGAATTTTCTCAAGGAGAAAGTATTACAAATGATATCAGGCACCATGGTGACTATTCTATTCTGTTTTAAACACACTTTTGTAATTTAGCACAAATACTTTTTTTTCCTCGTAGGAAAAGTACACTTAAAGCTAAAACAAACTTAACAAAATACTGCATATTTATCAACAGAACTTGCTTTGCTAGAGAAAGAACTGACGTCATCTGTCAGTCCATTTGAACAGTTCTAGCTGGTGATGAAATCAACTGAACTTTCAAACATTTCAAAGGAAAACAGAATCAGTAAGTCCACCCTTACCTCTCCCCACCCCATCTTCCGATTGAGCAGTTGCCTTATGCAAGGTTTAGGCAACTGATGAACTGTACTTCTCTCAGAATCTCTAGCATTACATATTCACTGTAATTATTTACCTGTCACCCCACCCCACTAGAATACAAGCTTCATAGGACGGGGGGCTTTGATTTGTCCACCACTGTAGCCCCTGCTAAGCACACAGTAGGCACTCAAATATGTGTTGAATGAAGAAGTAAAATGGTTGACTCATAGTCAATACTAATAAAAGGATTTGTGAATAAAACGCCTTTAAGAATATTGGGAGAGGTAAATGATGTCAAACGGACCCTTTAAGCTGGCAAAGGAGTAACTCTTGCCTGGAAAAGTGTACTTGCAGTGACCTTGAGCACGGGGAACCCAGGCTTTTAGTTGGGATGTGCGTTTCTGGGAATTCTGTACAGTGAAGAAGTGGTTCCTTTTTATAATCACACACTGAGATGACACTACACGACTTACTCAGTCTCAACCGACACTGGCCTCTAGGTAGAATGGCCCAGAAGAACTTAAAAAACAACAACAACAACAAAAAAACCTATGCGTTGACAACCTCAGGAACAGGAAGCCCCTGGAATCCAGTGAAAGGCAGCAGGCAGATGCCCAGAGCAGAAGGAGGTCGCTCCAGCGCGGAGCTGTCCTGACCGGGCGGCCAGGGCGCTCAGCTGTCTCCACTCCAAGGTGACAGCCCGCAGGTTAGAGCAACAATTCGCTGTCGCATTCCCAGTGGCTCACAGGCAACAACAGAATTTTCATGCCTTAGTAACAGGCTGGTCTGATGAAGTA